TTTGTGTTGTTGTTGTTTTTTTCATTTTCTATTGGAGTATAAGATACATACCCCAAAAATACATATGTTGTAAATGTATAGCTTGGTGAATGTTCATAAACTGAACACCCTCATGTACACAGCATTAAATCAAGAAATAGAACAGTGCCAGCACTTCAGAATCACCCCATTCCTTCCTTTCACTCCCCCTCCTCCTAGAGTAATCAATAGTGTGACTTCTAAGAGCGTAGCTTAGTTTTGCCAGGTTTTTTTTTCCACTATATAAACTAATCTTATAGTAATGTCTTTTGTGTCTGGCTTCTTTTACTCAATACTATCTGTAAGACTCATCCATATTGTTGCATGTAGTTATAAGTGAATCATTCACATAGCATTGCATTGTGTAAATATGGCACAATTCATTAATATATTCTATTATTGACAGATGTTTAGATAGCTTCCTGCAGGGACCGGGCCAAAACCGGCAGTCCAACATCCCCCGAGGGGTCCTGGATTGCGAGAGGGAGCAGGCCAGGCTGAGGGATTCCACTGGTGCCTCTAGTCAAATATAAGCTCCTCAGCGCGGTGCTCATGTCTAACTTGCTTGGACTGGACACCACATCTCACCCCACCAGAACCAGATTTTCCTTGATCTTTTCTTTATGCATCCACCTCTCCCTTTTTCCTTCTCACACCACACGCCCACCAACCTGGTGTGTTTTCCCCTGAAGGTTCTAGACCAGGACATGGGGTGTAACTCCCCAGATCAGGAGCTACGTGCTGGAGCCAATAGACCACATAGACATCACATGGCAGCCCCATGGGAAAGCAGGGATCTATAGCCTCTACTCCATCTTTTTCCATTCAAAGAGGCAACAGATGCCTTAGTTTATCTCTCAGCAGCTCACAAAGATTAAGGAAACCAAGGATTGATTGCCTATCCCAGGAAATTATGGCTTTTCTTTTCTAATATCCATTTTAAACAACAACAAAGTTTCAGAATGACTGGACAACCAAGGGGTTACACACAGTCCCAAAGTCCTGGTGCATTTGTGGGTGATGGCTTTGACAGGGCAGACTATTTCCTTTTGGTAACTAATTGTATGACCCCGGGTTGTTTTGTCTTGTTTTATAAAAGAAGCAAAATGATACATGACCACAGAAAACAGGCCAATTAGCTGTTAGAAAACATGAAAGGAAAGGAGGAAGAGACGAGAGACATTTCCAGAGCTAGAAGGAGAACGTGGGATGCAAATGCCATGCTGGGAGGGCAGTTTAAGAACTTGGGGGTGACCAGAACCACTGAAGAATGACTTAAGGACTCCCCTGTGGAACCCAGGAGACTATACAAGCTGCCAGATCTGTCGGCTCTGAGAGAAGCACTTTTAAAATATATATACATTTTTATTGATTTCAGAGAGTAAAGGAGAGGGAGAGAGAGAGATATAGAAACATCAATGATGAAAGAGAATCATTGATTGGCTGCCCCCTGCACGCCAGCAATTCGGGCATGTGTCCTTGACCGGAATTGAACCTGGGACCCTTCAGTCTGCAGGCCGAGACTATCCACTGAGCCAAACCAGCCAAACCGGGCTGAGAGAAGCACTTTTACCTACAGTGGAAGGAAGTCCTGAACAGTTCAGCAAACAAAACAAACTAAACAAACAGAAAAACTGTTCTTTCTCTAGGAACTAGGAATGAGCAGAAGTTGGAGGCACAAACTGAGGCACCCTGGGAGCCAGCCTAAGGAAGACTTGTTAACTGCCAGGGGAAAGCAAAGAGAGCGCCCGGGGAAAAAGCTATTTATCTTTTTTTTTTAAATATATTTTATTGATTTTTTTACAGAGAGGAAGGGAGAGGGATAGAGAGTTAGAAACATCGATGAGAGAGAAACATCGATCAGCTGCCTCCCGCACACTCCCTACTGGGTATGTGCCTGCAACCAAGGTACATGCCCTTGACCGGAATCAAACCTGGGACCCTTCAGTCCTCAGGCCAATGCTCTATCCCCTGAGCCAAACCGGTCAGGGCAAGGCTATTTATCTTATGCTCTAGTCTATGTCAAGCCAACTTCATGTGAAGCCACTTACCAAAAATATCTGGAAAGTCACTTAGCTTCAACTTGAATTTTACATATGAAGAAACCGAGGCCCTAAAAAGGGAGTACTTGTGTAAGGTGGTTTGATACACCTGATGTGCTGGGTGGGATAACTGGTGAGTGTGGCCATGGCAATGGACAGAGGGAATAAAGTACCATCAGAAAAGATGAAGTGAGAAAAGGCTGTGCACCCAGGAAGAGGATTTTAGATGAAAAGCCCATGTTCACCACCTCTTTATTATGACCCTGGGCAATAGCAACCAGGGGTAGAGCAAGAGGAAAATATAAGGAAAGTAAAGCCTTCAATTTGGGGGCTATCTGGTAGAATTCATACCAAAGGACATCTCACGTGTATTTGATAACCCCAAATACATTTACAGCAGAAGTTGAAAAATCAAATGCCTTTAAGTTAAGGTGAATATGTGAACGAGAGTGTAGGACAACTGGGTCTGGTCAGACTGGCAAAGGGAAGGCTCCACATAAAGGAATTCACATGCAATTTTTAAAAATCACTGGCCTTGCCAAAGGAAACACAGAGGTGGGCCCATTTCCATGTCAACAGTTTGCAAACACTGTTTTACATGGTGTTAAAACATAAACCCTCTTCAGAGATTTTAAAGGCTAAATGAAATATTTTTAATCTGAAGAGACCCATGAAAAGCCACTTTCAGTTTAAAAGATGATTCCAACTTTTAAATGAAAAACAAAAAGTCCTGATATTTTCCCCATCTGCATATTGAAAGGGGGACATTTTAACTTGTATGAGATGGTGTGTATCCCCCCCAACCCCACCCCTTGGAAAAAAGGAGGAGATATTCTTTACCTCCAATAATACATGGTGTTTGAAACATTGTAGAAATGGTACTTAAATGTTTGTTGAGTGAATAAATGGGGTTATAAGTAAAGCAAAGCACTAGTGAAAGACCTTACTCTGGAGGTTATAAAACAGAGGGGGTTGATCTCCAGCTCTAACCCTCCTCTTTCCATTCAGGATTTATCTCCCACATCAAACATCTGTGTAGGAGGCCAAAGACTTCAGTGTTATGACCTTCCTCATCTCATTGCTCTAGAAGAGCACAAAGAACATGGGCAGCCTCCCAAGAACAGTTATGACAGAACTCGCTCCCAGGGGGTATCCAAGCGGACTTGGTCCTTTGGGAATGAGGCAAAGGAACTTCAGAGCTCACACTGATAACTATTCCACTCTCTGAGTTCATGGTTTGGAGTACAAAGAGATTTGTACCTCACAGATTTGTTAGGAATAAGTAATATTGTGTATGTAAAAGGCTTAATGTAGTGCCAGGCACATAGTAAGTGAAACTGTGAACTCACTGAGCTGTAGATATTATAATTATTTATTATTGAAATAGTAGGTGGAATTTTTTTAAATTGCCCTCACTAGGGTGGGTATGGGGAATTAGGATAAACTGAAAGGCTGAGAAAAAACAAAAATATTTCAATAGCTGTCTATAAAATCATTTTGGAAAAGTTAGGGGTAGATAAGTGCTTAAACGACCAAAATTCCTTTCATTTACATATAAATCCTTATTTATGCATGTACACACTTATATATGCATAGAGTTCCCCTGGAGGAATAGTTCGCAGGCAAGAGTGGTTACCTTCAAGGAAGACTTGTACTAGGAACAGCATCCAGGGAAAGACTTAAAAGTTTTGCCATCTGTGTCTACATTATCTATTAAAAATTCACAATTTATTTTTAAATTAAATGTTGTTCATCTAAAATCTCTTCTAAGTTTTGCTGAGCTTGGGTGAATTGTGAAATTGAGAATGTCTGCTTTCAACTTTCCTTGTCAGAGCCCTGATACCGCCCCCTAGCGCCTGATACCCACCACTGTAGCTGCTTCCTGCAGCCTGAGCTGGGCTCACTGTTCATCTCACCAATAGTCACCAGGTTACTCCTATATGTAATTAATGCATTAACCAACTAAACTAGTACCTACTAGGATACTCCAATGCTTTAATGGTCAAAAATCTAGTTACTATGAAGAATGGCATTACCTCATTCCTCACTCTTGCTGGGCAGGTGAAATATTAGATTATTTATATTACATATACTCATCCATCATCCTTCCTTTTTTTCCATTTTAAACTTGTCCATTATCAGAAACAAAAGGACTTTTCTACTTTCTCAGTGCTATATCAAGTACACATTATTTAAACAATTAAATGTTCATTGATTCATCATTTGCTACAGTAATGTTCTTCTTTGCATATGTTGAAATGGAGACTATTGTCCCAAATACAAAATTTACTCCTGTGCTTTTATTTTGGGTAAGAGTGTGAACTTGGCTTCAGGCTTTTTAGTTGTTCTCTAGGCTATTTACTGTCCTGTAGTACATTTTGAAAAGTAATGTTCTAATTACTTTTAAAACAATGTGTTCTTATTATAAAGACATTTTGGAAAGTACAGTAAAACATAATGAATAAAATAAAAGCAAGTCTTAATTCCACATGAGCAGATAACTACTGTTACCAGTCTATACGTTTTTATACATAGTATTTTCTCTGAATTTTGAAGTCTCTAAAGTACATTTCCACTATCATGGGTAAATGTTAAAAGTCTGCCGTGGTTAAACATTGCAAAGATATTTTTATTAAAAACGCCTGTATTAGAAACTGCAAGGCATGTTTTGGATATAAGGGAAGAAGGAAGTTTTAAACATACCCACTAATTCAGGGTTGTATGGGTTCTTTCAGCAAATGCTGTATCTGTGTTCCGTTATGTAACCGCTGGACGTATATCACACATGACACTCAGGCTGACTTCCAGGGCAAAGCCTCCTCACCCAGTAATCTTGTACCCTGGCCTTGGACAAATATTTGGGCATGAATGGAATTTGTAGGGTCCTTGACAGGTGGCTTATGTAAATAATGGTGCATAATCCCAGGCAAGGAAGAAGTGAATCAGAATCAGGGACCCAGGAAGGGCAAAGAGGGGCTGTGAGCAGGTCATTTGAAGCCTGAGTGGTGACCTCATTATTATTGTTTACTTTTTCTTATTTTACTTCTCGTTGTTTTCACCCATTTGGGAGAACAATCTCGATCACCTCCTCCCGTCATCTCAGCAAAAGGCAGCTTCCCAAGCAGCAGGCAGGCCTCAATAAAAGGCTGGTGGGCGTGTTCCCCGCCCGAGGCCCGCAGTTGGACCGCGAGGAGGCTGGGGAAACCATCCCACACTGGAGCGGCGAGTATAAAGAGCCCGGCTGCAGCCGCGGGGCAGCTCTGGGCTTCGCAGGGGCACACGCAGGCCTCCTAGGTCCACATCCGAGCCGAATTTCAGTCCGGACACCACGAAGATGGCACCCATTGGGGGCAAAAAGGCCAAAAAGGTGAGTCTTGGGGAACCCAGGGCGCTCTCCGTCCCAGTCAAGAGTCCGGGTGGCGCTCCACCAAATCCGAATCTCCCACCCTCGGGAGTGCAGAGGCGTCCTCGAGCCCGGCTGTGAGAAGGTGCTCCCAGAACGTCTCCTGCAAGACCCAAGGAGCCTCTGAGCCCCTCATTCCTGCCCACGTCCACGGCACTCCCTAGATCTCTTGACTCCCCACTCGAGGGCGCCCCCAGAGCTCTGAGACTCCCAACATTTCCTGAGTCCTGCATGCACTCTCCCAGAAGGGCAGCTCCAGACTCACAGGCGGGACTTCTCTCCCCGGGTTCCAATGTGTCTGCCCTCTCGAAGCCGCAGCCGCTGCCACCAACCCTGCACGTGCGCCCCTCTGCACCCTGGACCAGCCCCACAGGCTGGCGCGGGCTCGGGCTCTGACAGTTTCCAGCATGCGCCTCCCCACTGTGGGGTCTCCGGGTACCTCCCTCCTTCAGGGTCATATTTGCAGCTTGGTTGGACAATGGTACGTTTTCTCCCACAGTTTGGTTTCAGCGATGAAGACAAAGTGCACCAGGAGGGCCTCAAAAATGGGCACAGAGGCCGTAAGATACTGTGGAAGGGCTGTTATTAAGATTTTTAAAACAGCATCTCCAGCACCTGATTAATAACAAGCACATATCTTCCCTTGTTGGACCAGTGTTCTGGTTCAGGCTCTCAGCCGTCCTCTAGTTTGGTGGAAGATGGATGGAGACTGACCTCAAGACTATGGCTGGGTGTATGGGAAGAAAAGGATACAGGGAGAGGGAATATATTTGACCTTTAGTTGTCAAAGCACTCAGCCAGAGGCTGGAGGCCTGGGCGGGGGGGGGGGGGAGGGGCCCCCCGGGGGTTGGGGGTAGGGGGCGGCCAGGCCAACTGTACCTGCTTAGCTGTGAGGACCATGAGGGCAGGTCCAACTCACATCCTCTCATTGCCAACCATCCCCCCAAATTAAAAAGACCTCCACAAAAGAAAAAGGCTAACTCACTTAAAATTTTTAAATGCCATGCAGCATTAATAGATGCTGAAGAAGATGTTGAGAGGCAAATGATTAGAGACTATCACCAGTTCAATTGGGTTGAGAATCTTTGCCAATCCATAAATCTACTAACGGAATAGTTGATGTATACTGGAAAGAATGATTCCTACAGAGATTTAAAAAATGTTTTTTTGGTTTGGCTCCATTCTCATAGCCATAGATTCTAACCAACTGCAAACTCAGAAAATGAAACATTTTAAAGGATTATATAAGCAAAAGATAGACATAAAATGGAAAAAAAGTTTCTTTGGTGACCTTATTTCCATGCATATGCCAGTGTTAAAACATAGACAATAATATGTCTATACTTTTGAGTTTAAAATTATAATATAAGTTACAAAGCTAACATATGTTCATTGTAAACAGCTTGGAAAAGACTTATGAACACCATCTGCTACATCTTAGTGTATATTCTGCTAGTTTGTTGTCTTGGAAAATATGTACTTTTATACAAAAATGGTCTGATATTACAGATACTGTTTTGTAAGACTTTTTCACAAAACAATATCTTGAGAATTTTTATAAATTTTTAAAATGTATCTTTATTGTTGAAAGTATTACAAATGTTCCCTTTGTTTTATTTCCCATTGACCCCCTCCTCCCTGCACCCGCCCCTCCGAGGCCTTCACCACTCTTGTCTGTGTCCATGACTATGCATATAATTTCCCTGGTTAATCTCTCCTCCCCCACCCCTACCTTCCCTCTGATGTTCCTCAGTCTGTTCTATGCTTCCAGGCCTTCACCACTCTTTTGTCGGTGTCCATGACTATGCATATAATTTCCCTGGTTAACCTCTCCTCCCCCACCCCAACCTTCCCTCTGATGTTCCTCAGTCTGTTCTATGCTTCTATGTCTCTGGATCTTTTTTGTTCATCACTTTATTTTGTTCATTAGATTCCACATACCAGTGAGATCATGTAACACTTATCTTCTCTGATTGGCTTATTTTGCTTAGCATAAAACTCTCTAGGTCCATCCATGCTATTGCAAATGGTAAGAGTCATATATGACAAACCTACAGCCAACATCATACTCAATGGGCAAAAACTAAAAACATTTCCCCTAAGAATAAGAACAAGACAGAGATGTCCGCTTTCACCACTCTTATTCAACATAGTACTGGAAGTCCTAGCCACAGCGGTCAGACAAGAAGAAGAAATAAAAGGCATCCAAATTGGAAAGGAGGAAATAAAACTGTCATATTTCACAAATGACATGATATTGTACATAGACAACCCTAAACACTCCACCAAAAAAACTACTCGATTTAATAAATGAATTTGGCAATGTAGCAGCATACAAAATTAACACCCAGAAATTGATGGCATTTTTATACACCAATAATGAACTCTCAGAAAGAGAAATGAAAAAAAACAATCCCATTTACCATTGCAACAAAAAACTTAAGATACTTAGGAATAAACTTAACCAAGGAGGTAAAAGACGTGTACTTGAAAAACTCCAGGATGTTGAAAAAAGAGATGAAAGAAGATATAAACCATATAGAAGAATATACCATGTTCATGGATTGGTAGAATCAACGTCATTAAAATGTCCATATTTTGAGAATTTTTTTCATAGCACATTCCACTTTTTAAAAAAAAGCTGTTTAGCTTTGGAACAAAAATGTCTGAAGTTCAGGTAATTAACAAATGCATTAGAATCTAAGACATTGTTTTTCCAGATGTAATTGTTCAACCAATTTATGAACAATATGGTAATGGAATCACCACTAACCACTCCACCAGCAAATATTAAATTCTTAGCTATGCTTTGTATTTAAATGTTTGTGGTACTAGAGTTTGAAAACACATGCATGTTCAATGAGAGTTGCTAAGTGACTGAACAGAAATATCATGAGTTATTTCAATCAAATGAAAGTTAGTAGCAAGTCATATCTCATTTATTTGATTTTTGTTTGTGTTTTTATATAACTGCACTGACTAGCAATATGTGTGTGTGTGTGTGTGTGTGTATTTCTTGTTAATTGGGTCATAAAGTTGTGTTAAGATGTGGCATTTAGGTACATTGAACTCATGACTTATTTGGATTTCAAAATTACATGTGATCAATTCTGTATTGTTGTAGTGGTTTTGTTATCTCATGGATTTTTATGCTTGAAAATTTTTCTAGCTGGAAGGGATATTAGGGAACATATAGCATGACCCTTCTATTTTATTGCTTTAAAGTGAAAATGTTAGTTGTGTCTTCTCTCTGAGCACTAGCTGACCAGATGGCACTGGAAAGGGCAATGGAGGGAAAGAGGATTAAAATGAGGGAGGCTCCAAGAAGGTGGATGCAAAATCTTATGAATGGCTCCACCAAATTTATGTAACCCTTGTTATTACATCAGCATTTGTTTTACCCACTGTTATTGGTAATAAATGGAACACAATAGGTAGGTACATTCCAAGTTATAACTTTCATAGTCTTTTCAGGCTGTCCCACCCTCCTCACTCCCATTTAAAATCGAATCTAGATAACACTTATGAATAAGAATCAGGAGGCCCTATACTCCCCACCTGGCAGACTTTGTGTAAATTTTTAGATTCTGGGCCTTAATGCTTCATTTATAAAATCAGGGAAAATGACCAAATTGAATGCAGGTGTTTTTTATTGTTAAAGTCTATGATTCCTTTAAATTAAAAAGAAATGGTTACACTAGAAAATTACTTTCTAATTTACAAAGCCCTTTAAAAATATTCAGGTCAGCCCAGCTGGTGTAGCTCAGTGTTTGAGTGTTGACCTATGAACCAAGAGGGCACAGGTCAATTCCGGTCAGAGCACATGCCCAGGTTGTGGGCTCAATCCTCAATAGAAGGTGTTCAGGAGGCAGCCAATAGATGATTCTCTCTCATCATTGATGTTTCTATCACTTTCTCCTTCTCCCTTTTCTGAAATCAATAAAAATATATTTAAAAAAATAAAGAAAAATATTCAGTTCAAAATATATCTATTAAACAATAATGTCTGGGTAATTATTGCACAGTACTGTAAATGATTGGAATAGTATGGAGATTGGGCTGGAAATCAGTTTACAAATACTTTATTTACTTGTCTTTCTCCTGTCCTTGTCATGTCACACTTGTAGAGTGCAACACGCATACTCATAACCTCTTGGACAGCATAACATAGCTGCTGTTGCAGAAACTGAGTATTAACACCAAAGATAGAAGACTTTAAGGGATTTGACCACCTTTGAGGTTGTATCCTTTCCTTCTGTCTTTATCAAGTGTCTTCTGACTTTTCAGTCTTCAAAATGCCTTACTAGTATTATATGCCACTTCAACTTTGTCAATTTTAATCATCTCCTTAGTTTATCTATAGAAGAAGAAAGACTAGCCTACACCATTTGAAGAATGTGTGCTTAAGTTTTCATTTGAGGATTTAGAACAAAACCTGTTCATTTAATCCTTCTTCAGGTATTTCTTCAAACATAACATCTTCCCACATTCTTCAAAACTCTTTAACGTGTCCTGAAAGACCACCACCCCCGACACATGCATACACAAATGTTCATTATATGAGCATGTTGGCTGTTTGCCTTATAGATAGTACCATGAATTTATAAACTATACATTGTACTTTCTTAGAATTCTATAGAAATAACATTTCTCAAGAATATGATAGCAAAAGTTAAAGATAAATTGTCTATAAGTTAAAGATAGAAAATTGTCTAAAAAACTCAAGTAGCTCCTTTTCCCCCCTCATCTGTAATTTCAGGGCATCCTCGAACGTTTAAACTCTGGAGAGGTTGTGATTGGAGATGGAGGGTTTGTCTTTTCACTGGAGAAGAGGGGCTATGTGAAGGCAGGCCCCTGGACCCCGGAAGCTGCTGTGGAGCACCCAGAAGCAGGTTGGTGCCTTGCTCTATTTCAGGGGTGGGAACGTCCAGCCTGCGGGCCATATAAGGCCTGCAAAGTCATTTGGTCTGGCCCTTCCAAGGCATTAGGGGTGAGTTAATTAAGTGTTTGACCAAATATAGCAGGCTAATTTTTAAGTTGATAATTTTGTATGCTATTAATATCCAAATGGCCCTTGTCAGAAAAAAGGTTCCCACCCTTGCTCTATTTGAACTTTTCATAAAAGAGCACTATATTGACTCAAGTCTAGGTGCATACCATCAAACAGATACATTCATGCCACATTTTCCAAATATTTATTAATGCCTGCTGGGCACTGTGCTACATATGTAAGTATGGATCCACGTGTTGGATAAGCAAAACAGTCCTCTTTGTTACTGTCACCTGTGTTTACCACTTGGTCCTGACCCTCACTGTAGATAAGTCTAGTACCTGGCTCTCTGCCTTCCTCTGCCCCTCTCCCCCTCACCTCTCTAGGTGACTTCAGTGCAGCACTTTCTGCTAGTGCCTTGATTTCCTCCTCGTCTCCAACAGAACTCTTCCTCCACCCACCCCCTCAGCAGCCCACTCCTAGACCTTGCCTTCATCAATAGCTGTCCGTCCATCTCTGAAATCTCAATTACCAGCACTCACTCTTTGACCACCACCTCCTATCTTTTCTGCTCACTCTCTCTAACACTGCCACTCCCAAATCTCATCAAAACCCTCAGTCTTTCTTCCCTCCCACTTTAGTGCTTATTACCCATTCTCCTGCATATGTCCACCTTCTCTCCTTAACCACTTTAAGTTAAATGGTACATGGTACAATATCAATCATGGCCTTACAGATAGGCCCTCCTCCGCTGTATAGATGCCAGCTAGTTAACTGCATTGTATACTAGCCCACCCTATTTAAATTTGACTATCTATCTATCCTGCACCTGTACCCATACACCTATTCTCACTTACTTTTTTGACCACAATTCTTTTATGACTAGGAGGGAGGTGGGATGGAACCTGAGGGAGTTTATATGTACATAGATAATATCTCCCAGTTATATATGCATAGAACATACTTAGATATTACCCTTGTAAATTTACTTGAGAAATGCAAGTCTTTGGGATTCCATAGCAAACTCTAAAAAGGTCAAATAAAATTCTGCAGTATTTCTTCAGTGGGATAATAAATTTACAGCAAAATCATTTGGGGGCAAAATGTGACCTAAACTAATGTGAGGATATTTATAACCGTATTCCCTTTAGTGTGGTTAGTCATATATTTTGATGTAAAATAAGTATTAATGTGTTTGATTAGGGGGCGGCTAATGAGTGTTAGATAATATATAGCATATATACTGTAATCGCTTTCTAAAATCCCCAAAATTCTGAACTCCAAAGTGCATTTAGTCCTAGAATGCCTTGGATAAGGGATTATAGACCTGTAGCATAACTTTCCCTTCCTTGCCGTTTCCAGCACTAAAAAGTGAAGCCCAGGTACCAGTCCTACAAAAATATTTCAGGTGTAGTCCAATTTTCTGGGAAGTTTTTCAGGGTCTACCTCAATTCTAGCTTTCACCCAGCTTAATTTAGAAAAGCACCTGCAGGTACACACATTCATTTACATAAAATAGCATGAAAACTGACCACCGCTCTCTTTCAGAGCATGAATTCTTTAAACACCTTTAATTTCCCCAAAATGCTAAATACATCTGATGTCCTGTGAGGCACATAGAAGACTATCTAGCAAATAGTGATGATAATGATGATGATTTGCCTTTATGGTTAAAAAGAATACAATTTAATTAAAGTGACTACAGAATTCATGTCTTTCTGTATTTTCTCAATTAACAGATAAATGTATCACAAGAAAGGTCTTTTCTAATTATTTAGACATTAAAAATGGACATTTGTCCTCAAGAAACCCCAGTCCTGTAGGACACACAGACTCATGGAATTCTGAAACTCCCTTTGCCTTGTAGAGATAAAGAAATTGCTGCCTTGATGGGGTAGGTAAATGACTTGCCCAACATCACACAGTTCACTGTAGCTGCATCAGGAAGATTCCAGGTTCACTGACCTCTTGTGCCTATGCTCTTTCCCCCTACACACAGTGCCACATTAAAAAATGGTGAGGATGTAAGAATTTGTAAGGATACCCACTCAGCAACTTAGTCAAGAGACTGGGTAACATTTAGCGTCTATGATGCTAAGATAAAACTAATATAACGAAGTTTAAAACCATAGGATGAATATAATTAATTAGTATAGGTTGTGATCTTGTCCTAGGGACCAGTCACACCCTATTATTTGTTAGAGAAGGAAGACGCAGGAGTCTTATGATGAAAGAAAACAGAAAATAGAAATTGAAAGGATACCCAAAAATTACCAGACTAATTCTCCTATTGAAGTTCATGTCAGAAGTTGTAGTTCTTGTACCCAGTGGAATCAGCATTGAATTCAGCAAGGAATTGGGGTTTGCTGGGTCTGGATGGGCTTGGGGCATTGGATTCATAAAAATTGACCCCCAGTGAGTCTCTGTGTGGGTACATTTTGAAAAGCCCTTCAATTTTAAGAAGCATGGTGGGATAATCAAATCAACTAAGAATAAGGAGTTGGGTCACTGCCCTCTGGAAAAATCTGATAAAAATGTGTGGACCCTCTGCACTGTGAATGTACAGCTACACAAACAATTTGCATACCATTCCAGGATTTTTTTGCAGAGCCTCTGGAATACACCCAAGGACAACCTGGGTGGGCTTCCTGTTTATAAGCTGTGTGGCTCTGGTGTATAGGCACCTGGTCTACAGGCTCTGCACCCCTGCTCCAGCCGCAACAGCTCATCTGATTCATACATGGGGACTTGGTTCTGTTGCTAATTAAAATAAGTACAAACCCCTTAATTTAGGCATCCTTTTAAATTCCCATTGAGAACTAAAGTTTCCATGATTTAAAAACAAAGATTTGGCTTCAAGCTTAGAAACCCATTTTCTGAAATTCAAAAGCTTTTTTTGCCTCACTTATTTGTTCATTTAAAAAAAAACACTGAGCTTCCTATGTTCTCTGGTCTAGTAGGCACCTGGGATGCAAAGATGCCAGACTCATCTCCAGTCTTAGCCCCTAAGGGCTAAGAACTCCAGTGTCCTATTAACTTCCTGGCTTCCAGGATAGTTGCTTCCAGACCTTTGGATTTTATAGGCCTCTGGAATTTCGAAATAAATGTCAGGGGCTGGTACTGGATTGCTGATTTCTTACTTTGCCCAGTTAATTCCCCTGACAATGCAAATACCAGCTAAGTCTACCATTTTATAAAATGAGCATTTTCCCCACTCTCTAGGAATGGTGGTTCTCAACAAGGCTAAAAATAAGAATTAGTTGGGAAACCTTTAAAAAAAAAAGTCTGTGCTTGGTCCCAAACCAATTAAATCAGAATATCTGTGGGATTACCCTCACATTCATAACTTTTTAAAAGCTTACAGGGTATCTAGTGGGCAACCAGGGGTTAGGATCACTATTTTAGAGCAAAGGATATATAATTCTTTAACTTGAATACACTTTGTTACATGGAAAAAATTTCTATCATGTTTCCTCTAACCTGGGAAAGCTTTGCTTTTTGGCATTCATTATGGACATGTTTGAACCTTGCTCCAATTCTTATCCCACTCATTTTTCAGAAACGCTGAGCTAATCACATCACTCCATTGCTTACAAACTGTTGGCAACACTTGTGGTCTGGAGCCTAGACTCCTTGGGATGATGTGCTATGCCATTCATACTGTCTGCCAGTCCACCTTTCCAACTGCATCTACCGCCACTTCTCCAACACATCCTCAACTCCAGCGGCTCAGATTACCTGCTGTTCCCCCAAAGGCCACGCTTGTTTCCGTATCCTTGTCTTTGCTCAGGCTGTACCCTCTGTAGAGAATGCCCTTCCCTACCTCCTCACCTGGCAAAAATGCTAAAATGATTACCCCTCTCTGGGACCTCCCTCTTTTCTTCACCCCACTCCATGGTAGACATCTCTTCTTCCTGGCAAGAGACCCCAGATCCACCTCTCAATTATCCCACAGGAGGCATGAATGCCAAGCAACCAAGAATTTAAGGAGATGTTTTCATATTTATCCTAGAACTTGGGTTAATAAACTGATAGCAATTAGTGCCTTTCTTATTGAATCTCCCAGTTCGCCAGCTTCACCGAGAATTCCTCAGAGCTGGATCCAATGTCATGCAGACCTTCACCTTTTATGCGAGTGAAGACAAGCTGGAGAACAGGGGGAACTATGTGGCAGAGAAAATATCCGTGAGTAAACCATACAGGGCGTTCTCAAAAGAGTGCAGAAGACACACGTCATCCGCAAAGTTCTGACAGAGAAAAATGTTGAGCCTCTGCAGAGTTTTGTCTTATTTTAAATAATACAATAATGAGATATGTGTGAATAATACTTGGGTTTGATCTGGAGTCTCCCAAAGTGGCAGAAAGATATTTAATGATTAATGATTCTTTCAGGCTCCTACGTGGGTATCCTTATAAATTCTTTCATTGTCAGTTGTTTTTTTTTAATGTGGTATAGTAGGGGAAAAGTCATAGGTACAAGAGGTCAGTGAACCTGGAATCTTCCTGACTCAGCTACAGTGAACTGTGTGATGCTGGGTAAGGCATCTACCTACCCTATCAAGGGGGCAATTTCTTCATCTCTACAATGAAAAGACAGTTTCAAAATTCCATGGGTCTCTGTGACCTACAGCACTGGGGTTTCTTGACGATGTGTTCATTTTTAAGGTCTAAGTAATTAGAAAAGACTTTACTTGTGTTACATTTATCTGTTAATTGAAAACATAAAAAAAAGACATGAATTCTGTAGTCACTTTAATTGAATTTTATTTTTATTTGTCTTAAAGACAAATGATCATCATTATCACCACTATTCTTCTAAGTGCAACTTTGGCACTGGAAGATACCAGATCTTTTTATGTAAAGACTTTTACCCTCTCGTAGATTTTTGGTATAATGTGATGTTCTAGATACCACCATTAGGTTTATTTTGTTTTCAACACTATTTTTGATGTTATTGTCATTGCACATTGCTCAGCTTGGTAATGCATTGAACCATTCCATCACTGTCATTCTCTGGAATCAAATCACTATTATAACATACAACTGAGATGGGGACATCTGAATAATAATTTTGTTTCAGTTTCACATAAAAATTTTTATTTGTCTTAAAGACAAATGATCATCATTATCACCACTATTCTTCTAAGTGCAACTTTGGCACTGGAAGATACCAGATCTTTTTATGTAAAGACTTTTACCCTCTCATAGATTTTTGGTATAATGTGATGTCCTAGATACCACCATTAGATTTATTTTGTTTTCAACACTATTCTTGATGTTATTGTCATTGCAAATTGCTCAGCTTGGTAATGCATTGAACCATTCCATCACCAGTCTTTTGGTTTTTTTTGTTTTGTTTTGTTTTTTTTCGTGGCAATATGTTTATAGATAAATTTCCTGGGACAATGGAAACTGAAGAGAAAATAAACAAATGGGATTACATCAGAATAAGCTTCTGCACAGCAAAAGAAATCAACAAAATGAAAGGGCATCCCTGTATGGGAGAACATATTTGGCAATGATACATCTGATAAAGGGTTAATATCCAAAATATATAAGGAACTCATACAACTAACAAAAGGAAGACAAACAAGCCAATTAAAAAGGAACTAAATAGACACTTCTCCAAAGTGGAAATACAGACCACCAAGAGACATATGAAAAATGCTCAAGGTCACTGATCATCAGAGAGATGCAAATTAAAACAACAATGAGGTATCACCTCATACCTGTCAGAATGGCTACCGTCAACAAATCAACAAATGACAAGTGCTGGTGAGGATGTGGAGAAAAGGGAACCCTAGTGCACTGCTGGTGGGAATGCAGACAGGTGCAGCCACTGTGGAAAACAGTATGGAGCTTCTTCAAAAAATTAAATATGGAACTGCCACTTGACCCAGTGGTCTTCTAGGAATATATCCTCCTGAGATGGGGAAGACTGGGGGTGCTGGGGTCCAACCCCAGCAGGTCCAGGGATCCCCAAAGGTGTGGACGAAGTCGGCGAATAAGGAATGACACAGAGGCAGCGTTCAGTCGATCAGCATAGCCAGGTTACTCTAAGTTTCTCAGCCAGGTTCTCTCGCTAGGTTCTGTTTCTAGGTTCTGTCTCTAGGTTTTCCAGCCAGGTTCTCTCGCTAGGTTCTCTCTCTAGGTTCTGTTGCCACATTCTCTTGCTAGGTTCTGTCTCTGGGTTCTGTGTAGGATCTCCAGCCAAGTCCTGTCTCTCTAGGTTCTGTCTCCACAACAGTCTTTTGAAAGAAGGAGCAAGTAGGCCTATGCTGAAGGTTTAACAACTAGGAACGGGAAAGAATTTAGGCAACTCAAAAGGAGCATTCAGAAAATTTGTGTTTTATTTTCAACTTATCTCCAGTTGAGGTCTTTAAACATTAATAACTGTTAGATCAGCTGCCCTCTTTGCCAGTTTTTCCACCCTTGTCAATTACTGGTATGCTTTGCTTTTTTTTGGTAACTGACATCATAAATTTTAAAAATCCTTTGATATGAAATACTGACCACCTCACTTATCTTATATAATTTTCATTCCTAATATCAGATTTCATTTCAATTCGGGAAAATACCGATTGTTTTAAAATCTGCCTCATTTTAAACCCAAGGAATAGCTCAGTGTCAGTGGAAGAGCCAACTCACTCTGTAAAGAGACTTTGATTGGTTATTTCTTTAATTTCTGATTTTTATCCAGCTCCTGATATTTCATGGAAGTCACTTCATACTTGTCATTGACAATAACAATTATTTAGGAATAAAGTTTTATAATACTAATTTTGATCAGTATAAAAATGGAGGGGGGAATTAACTTATTTCAGAAAGATCAGAGGAGGCCTTAATCATCACCATTGTTAACTAGCAAGGATTCCTGGCTTGAGTCTCATCATTCTGTTCAGAGTAGGTGGCCACAGTGTTTGAAATCACTGTACCCTATTTATATCCTTTGTAGCACTTCCCATTTATCTCATTTGTTGATCGCTTTAATGTCTGACTCTCTCACTAGACTGTAAAATCTAAGAGGGCAGACATTCTCTTGTCTCAGCATTGAGTACTCTGTGCCTAGCATAGTGCCTATTACATAATAGGTCCTGAATAAATATCTGCCTAATAAATCTATCTAATATCCATCTAATAAGTCTATCTTCCAATGTTAGTTCAAATTCTATCTCCATGTATCCTAAAATAATCAGCCCTACCCCAAGTATCACTCCATCTTCTTGGGAACTATAACACTTTCTATTTATACCCCTCATTTGGAATATCTTCAGTCGACATTTTCTAATCTATGGAGTGTTATAGGGTCATGTAGTCAAATACATTTAGAAAATGCTGTGTTAAACCAAGTTAAGCAGGTCTCTTTACTACAGAACTTCTCAGAGCCTTTTATATGTTCAGGTATATTGGCAATGTCCAAGAAGGGGATATAGTAAACAGCTACTATCTAACTTAATGGATCACAGAACTTATTTTCATGGAGCAAACCTGAAAGCCCTGTGCTAAGTTATAAAATTCTTGGTGTCAGGGACTATGTCCTATGTTTATATTTCTCTAGAACCCCTTACAAGGACCCTTTTACCTAATAGACATCCAATAAACAGCCAACATATGATTAATTAATTAGCATAATGAAGTCCGGCAAGGAAAGAAAAATTCTGGCAGCACATCATCCAAAAGAAAAAGAGAGAGAGAAAGAAAGGTAGTCAAGATCCAAGTGAAGATATTAAGTAAGCTTTTGAATATACAAATCTAGAACCTAATGGAAAGGTCAGGTTAGAGAGAGAAATTTAGGGGAGTTCTAGATATAGATGGTATTGAAGGCCCTGGTGCTGAAAAGAAGGTGTAGGTGAAGAGCAGAAGATGGGATCCTGGGTCACTCAGGGTTGAAGAGTTCAGCCTTGGGGAGGAGTGGGCACGTAACACCCCCAAAAAGCAGCCAGGGCAGTAGGAGCAACACTTAGGGAGTGTGGGAAGTTCTCAGAAGGGGAGAACTATTATTGAACATTATGTTAAGAGAAGGGGAGTGTTGATGAAAGAGGCGGGGATCCAATAGACTGAATGCTGCTGAGAGGTAGAGTAAATGAGAACAGAGAAGTGATTACTGGATTTGGTAAGATTGAGGTCACAGGTGCCCCTTCAAAAGCTGATTTAAAGGAATGGCCTTGAGGGCGGCCGATAGAAAAAGAATAAAGAGCAAACTGCAGACCCAGGCCAGTGAGGACCACTGAGGTACCTGCCACTGAACACTGGATACCACAGCTTGTGGCATCAGCTCTGCTGCTCCTGGACTCTGGATTAGTGATATCACTACATTGGCCTGATGAAAGGGAACATTGATTTATTCCTCAGATAGTGGTATGGTAACCACGGGTGCAATCTAGCAGCTGGGAGTGCTAAAAAATTATTGTGCTTGCAATATTAATGTCAAAAATTGAAAAATTGACTACTAAAATTTGAAGTTAAGAAAAACTCTAATAATGATTAAAAAAAAAAAAAGATGGACAGCCAAGTGTGCATAAATGACACTTCAATTATACCAGACTCTTCAAAGAACTTTTCACAGAAAGTGCTTGCTGCCTGTTAGCAATCATTCTTACATAAAGGTAAGATAGATTTGCAGAGAGCAGGGATCAAATGCTATACTTCCAAATTCACCTGATTAAGAGAGGAGAGTTGGGCCTCCTGGTATTCTGGTGAATCCCTAAAGCTAACATGTTCTTCCCACTTGCAGGAGCTTCCATCGTTGGTGTGAACTGCCATTTCGACCCCACAATTAGTTTGCAAACAGTGAAGCTCATGAAAGAAGGCCTGCAGGCTGCCGGGTTGAAAGCCCACCTGATGAGTCAGCCCTTGGCCTACCACACTCCTGACTGTGGCAAACAGGGATTTATCGATCTGCCAGAATTCCCCTTTGGTAAGACACACATTCTATACACTGTCTCTGATGTCTTTATGTTTAACACATTCCAAATAAATCTATAGCTCATAGAGCTGTATCATAGTAAAGAAATGTATGCCTATCTCCTCAACACTAGCTCCCAGCTTTTCTTCCTGCAGCCACAAATCCCTTTATGTTAGATAGTCATAAAAGGAAAAGAAGGTATCAGCAAACAAAGATGACAGGTGGGATCAGCAAAGATTTTCATTCTGGTTCCAGCTCTGTTGCTAAGTTGTGTAACCTTAGCAAAATTCCTTAGTTCCTCTAGATCAGCGGTTCTCAACCTGTGGGTCGCGACCCCTTTGGGGGTCGAACGACCCTTTCACAGGGGTCGCCTAAGACCATCGGAAAACACATATATAATTACATATTGTTTTGTGATTAATCACTATGCTTTAATTATGTTCAATTTGTAACAATGAAATGGGGGGTCACCACAACATGAGGAACTGTATTAAAGGGTCGTGGCATTAGGAAGCTTGAGATCTTAATTTTCTCATCAGAAAAATAAGACGGTTAGAACTAGGTAACCTCCAAGATCCTTTCCTCCTATTTTGAATGTTGCTCAGATACTCCTACTCCAGGGTTTGGGGATGGAGGAAAGATATCACTGGGCTACTCTATGACAAATTTGAATGAAGAGACCGAGCAGTGAATTGAAGGCACTCTTGCAGTCTAGGCAGAAGGATAAAGTCTTTTAGTGTGTTTTGGGAGTGGGCGTGAGTCTACCTTGAAAATCAACCCCAGAGATATCAGCAGGGCCTGAGCATGGCCAACCTCCTGTTCCATTCTAAGGTCTTTATACCATATTCTGTATCCTATAGGGACCCTCAGAGAAGTAAGATATTAAAAAATAATCACTCTAGGACAACCATGGAAGAAGAATGGCAAGACATTTGTGTTACTTATTGCTGTATAACAAATTACTGTAAAACTTTGTATCTACAATCTCATAGTTCCTGTGCATTATGAATTCAGGAACAGCTTAGTTGGGTGGTTTTTGCTCAGAGTCTTTTAAGAGGTTGCAGTCCAGACATTGGCCAGAGCTATAGTCATCTAAAGGCCTGATGGGAGCTGGGGGATCTACTTCTAAGCACTCTAGTTGACTCTTAGGAGCCTGTGTCAGTTTCTTGCTGTCTTTACTGGAGGCCTGAGTTCCTCAGCTCCTGGGTCTTTCCACTGTGGTGTTTGCGTGTTCTCACAACATGGCATCTGGCTTTCACTAGGGTAAGGGTTCCAAGAGCACAAGGCAGAGACTATGCAAGGATGAGAATATCAGAGGACAGGGTTCATCTTGAAAGCTGACTACCACAGCATTTAAAACTGGATATATATAGACACAAAGTAGCTAACAGTTTTGAAAAGTTAAGAATTAAATATTGACCACTTATTTAACTCATTTATTGAAGATTATATACTTATTATTGTTGTTCATTTAAAATATTTTTTAAGAAAGAATTTGGTCATAATGTCATTTATTGCAGGACTGGAGCCCAGAGTTGCAACCAGGTGGGACATTCAAAAATACGCCAGAGAGGCCTACAACCTGGGGGTCAGGTTCATTGGCGGGTGCTGTGGATTCGAGCCCTACCACATCAGGGCGATTGCAGAGGAGCTGGCCCCAGAAAGGGGCTTTTTGCCACCAGCTTCAGAGAAACATGGCAGCTGGGGAAGTGGTTTGGACATGCACACCAAACCCTGGATTAGAGCCAGGTAAGAACCTTTAAACTATATCTGCCAAACCAAACTCATATACATTAATTATGAATATGTCCAAGTGAGGTCATCATAAAGAGTATAACTAATTTGATGTGTGATGATAAAGAGTCAGTTCTTCTCCTTAAATTAACTCACAGATGTGTCTATAAAACATCCTGATGGAGCAATTTCTAGAGAAGACTTTAGGAATATAGAATGTAAGCAATGTAAGTTGCAGTGAAGTATGATTTCATGCTCTAGGAAAGCACCATCCATGTGGTGGACCCTAACATGGATTCTTTAAGACTTAAGTATAACAAATACTTATTAAGTGCCGGCTCTATGCCAAGCACAATTCTCAGAGCTTGGAATAGAGTGATGAATAAGGTAGAAAAAGTATTTGCCCTCAAAGCTTGCAGTCCAGTGGAGAAGATGAATAATAAACATATTTTATGTCAGGCAGTGTGCAGAGCACTAGGAGTAGAGGAATGAACAGCTGTGGTAGAAAGAAAAGAAGAGGGAAGGGAAGGGAAGGGAAGGGAAGGGGGAAAAGAAAGCCTGTGGTCTCTGGCTTAGGGATTCTCACAGTATACTGGGGAAAATGGATAAGAAAACCAATGTATTATACCGTGGTAACCGCTTTAATAATAGAAGCATGGAAAAAAATAACAATGAAGAGAAGTACTATGTTTGCCTTAAAAGAAAGATATTTTAGCAGAAGGGATGAGCTAGAGAAGGGGGTGGAGGGTGAGCACCCCAAGCAGAGGGAGCAGGTCTGCTCTGTTCAGCTGACATTAATTGAGCACAACTATGCACTAATGGCCTTTGGGGGCAAAAGGCAGAGAAGGGGTAATGAAGGATTTTTAAGAGAGCTGCTGCCCAAGCTAAATTTTGAAGGGTTAGGGCAGTGGTCGGCAAACTCATTAGTCAACAGAGCCAAATATCAATAGTACAACGATTGAAATTTCTTTTGAGAGCCAAATTTTTTAAACTTAAACTATATAGGTAGGAACATTGTTATTAACTTAATTAGGGTACTCCTAAGGCTTAGGAAGAGCCACACTCAAGGGGCCAAAGAGCCGCATGTGGCTCGCGAGCCGCAGTTTGCCGACCACTGGGTTAGGGAAACAGTCTACAGAAATGCACTCAGGTGGAAAAAGAATGGCATATTGAAAAACTATAAGTTTGAGAGTATCAGAGACAGAATTTGGTAGGAGATACAAGCCAGGAAGAGGGGGCAGCCTTTTACTCATGCTCATGAGCTAAGTATGATCTCTTCTCAATGGCAGTGAGGAGCCTGGAGGGTGGCAAGTGGTCCAGGACAAGATTTGCAAGTTAGCAAGTTTTAATAGCCTTAAAACGGAAACCTGTGAGGAAGCCTTTGCTAGAATACCAGATGTGATGAGGCCTGAGCTAGAGGAGACAATGGAGAAAGAAGAAGGAGGCAGGTCCACGGAGTGAGAGTGTAGAAGTGATGCTGGTGTGAGAAGAGCAGCAAATGTGGGCTCAGCTGGTCATGAGGAAATGATTGGGGAGGTAGGGTAAGTCTGATTCTTAGCTTCTGATCCCTATGCATATGTTAAAAGAGGAAATTCAAAATAATTTTAGACATATAGATTCTGAGGGGAGAAAAGTTTGAGTGCAAATTAATGCGTGTGTTTTAATGGATATATAGTCTCAAGAGTGCAAAGAGGGTGCCGTGGAGGTATTCTACTTCAGTGACAGAGATCGGCTCAGGGCCGAGTCTAATATGTGTTTTGTTCACCCAGGGCCAGGAAGGAATACTGGGAGAACCTTCGGATAGCCTCAGGCAGGCCGTACAACCCTTCAATGTCAAAGCCGGATGCCTGGGGAGTAACCAAAGGAACCTCCATGCTGATGCAGCAGAAAGAAGCCACAACTGAGCAGCAGCTGAGAGAGCTCTTTGAAAAACAGAAATACAAATCTGCGTAGTAGCCTCAGTGGAACCCAATTTTGTGAATTCTTCTATGCTTGGGCCACAGTTCTTAAAAATAAGGAAAAGATGGTTAAAATACAATGCTCCTATTAACGCCAGCCTATACATAAAATTGGTATGAGCTGAACAAAATAGAATTACAGACAGCACTTGACAATTTTAAAAGTATGTTTTAGAAATTTCCTTAGAAGCAAAATAAGTACGAAGTAAATCTTAAGCAGGTTTACTAAGAACCCACTGTGTAGAAGGCATTAAGGAAATCGCTGTGGCCAAGGAAGAGTAATTCTGACATTAATCCCGACTTCAAGAAGCTTGCAGGCTAGTGAGGAGGATTAGACATGAACTGTCATAAATGGCTCCGTGACCAGATTGGGACAGATAAAGTGATATAGGGAAGTGACTTCCAAGCTCCTTCGAACATGACCCTTAGCAAGAAATACAATTTCATATAATGACCCAGTAAGGCACATACCATACAACCACTGAAATAAAATGTGTGGTCTATTCTGGTATTTTGTGTTCTATTTCTTTCCATCTTATTTTATTAATAAAACATGCTGGTCAAGATCCTTCAAATTGATTTTATGATCCATTTACAGGTTTTGGCCCATAGTTTGAAAACCACTGCTATGGGACACTTCAGCTATGGGGACTTCCCTATTTAAGTTTACTCTTAGATCACTGATCAATAAGTATCCAAAGCCCAGAGTCCTGCTCTCAGAGTTCCAGAGTTGTTTTCTTTTTGCTGATCCATTTCTACCGCTAAGAAACGTACCAGCCAATAGGGAGGGGGTGAGAAGGGATTGGTGTCTAGGCCCTCTCCATTCTACCCCAAACTGAATCCACCTAGATGCCTCCAATAGTCAAGCCTGAAGAGCAACAAGCGTGTGTTACTTTGGTAGCTTAAAAAAAGGATAATTTAGAGAAAAACAAAAAAAGAAATTCTCCAAACTCTATCCAGGTTTCCTAGATGGATAAATATGTTTTTACCTGATAATATCTATGCTCTTATGAGAGCCCAAGCCGGAAGATGCAAGACCATTAGAATAACCAGGGCTACCCTTCATGTATTAGGAAAGAGTTCATGCTGCTTTATAAACATCCTTGGATTGGTTAGCTGTTTAAAAATTGTAATTTCTTCAACTATTAAAAATATAAGAGCAATGAGACTATCTTGGTGATATTAGGTTCTTATTTTCATTTTATAATTTTCTAAGTCCTATATGAAATCTCTATACCTCAATTTATCCATCAATTTAAAAAGTAATAATACTTCCCTTCTTCACAAGTGTGCTGGAGTTTTAAAAGAGAAGGCAGCAGTATTAAAAAGGAAAAGAAGTTTCTAGAATGTTCTTACAAAGATAATTAGCAATTCATCTCTCATCCCCAAATGCACAGAAATGGAACCAAAGCAGTACAACTCTCAGAGGCTACATATGACTGAGGTAAAATTAGAGAATAAAATGCCACTTTTTTTGTTAATACTCACCAGAGGATATTTTTTTCATTGATTTTTAAAATATATATTATGATTGATTTCAGAGAAGGAGAGGGAGAGAGATAGAAACACCAATGATGAGTGAGAATCATTGATCAGCTGCCTCCTATACACCCTCTACTTGGGATTGAGCCCACAACCCAGTTATGTGCCTTGACCGGGAATCAAATCATGACCTCCTGGTTCATAGGTCGATGTTCAACCACTGAGCCACACCAGCCAGGCTTTCCATTGGTTTTTAGAGACAGTGGAAGGGTAGGGAAGAGACACAGAGAGAGAAACATAGATGTGAGAGAGACACATCAATTGGTTGCCTCCTGCACAGCCCTGACTGGAGCCAGGGACTGAGCCTGCAATCGAGGTACATGCCCTTGACCAGAATCGAACCCAGGACTCTTCAGTCCACGGGCTGATGCTCTACCCACTGAGCTAAACCAACTAGGGCAAAATGTCACTTTTTTTTTTTTTACAAAGTTGCTATCTACCATTTCTTACTCTCAAATCAGGTTCAATATGTAATGCTTTAATTCATAGATGATAGAAACTTTTATTTGATTTATTGTACTAGTACTGTGTAAGATGCTTGCCCCTTTGATATGCTTTTCAAAACTTTATTGCCACACAAAACATTGTAACCTCTAATCATTCTTATATCCTTTGATTTGAAAAACATTCCCTCAAAAGGAATTAATTCTATTGAAGAGGTGCTTGAATGAACTATATGTCAATACTGCCTCCTAGTGGCCTATTTCATATTTTGAAAATTTTTTGAAATTCAGCCTATCCACCAAGTGCATTCATTTTATTTCCAAAAATATTGTTCATTAAAAGGGAAGGCTCATTTAATAACTCATAGTTTACTTATGTTAAATAAACATTTCTCACTGGTAAATATATTTTTATGGAATCAGAGCCAAAGGTACCTTAGAGATCATGAGTCTAAACTCTCTCTTTTAAGGATAAGATTACTAAGTGAGGCAGGGTACCAAGTCAGGAAGAACTCCTAGTCCAAGGCTGCTTTAGCTTGGATTCTAGGTAGAAGAGGAGTGGAACCAGGACAGATGGATCAAAACACTGAGTTCATCCTCCGGCCAGGAAATAAAGATCCTTGCATTACTCAGAGTCAGTGCAAGCTCACTGAATAAACTGTTTGCAATTTATGGCCTAACACTTCATTACATTGTAGCAAAGCGCCTTCTGGTAAGAGAATAATGCCAATGCAGACCTACAGAGAGACAGATCCACACAGGAAGGGATTAAAAGCTTCAGTTCCCAACTTCTCCAGAGGGGGGCAGCAAGTCACCAGCAGGGAATTCCTGTGGCGATTTATTTTGCTTTGAACCTAAGCTATTTCATCAGAATGAACTGTAACATAAAATGGCAAAAATATCTGTAGTCCTCTCTTTTTGTTCTGGTCAGTCTTTTTCCTAAGACATGTGGACCTTTGAATCATATCCATGGCAATTCACCCCTCAAGAAAAACCTTATATGTCTCCAACCAGATTCCCATTTTCCCCAGCTTGCTTCGTTCTTCCCAGCTTCGACCACATTGGTTAGCTGTGAGCATTAAACAGACTATTTTCCCAAATTGCTTCTCTGTTAGTCAATAACATAACTTTGGCCAGTCTGGAACCTTCCATGTGTTACCTAACAGGTAGACAACTCTGATTCTTACACAATAAAGGGTGGAGAAGTTAATTTAAAGAGAGAAAAACAGAGGAGCCCCATAAACTGCTTCAGGAGTAGAATGTCTGAAAGTGAGTGTGTTAAAGAACATGGGTAAGAGATAACAAGACCCAATATTTCTAAACATCTCCAGGAACAAATGAATGTTTCGTATTTGAACAGAAAATGAATGAAAGGCAGCCAAATACTGCAAAGACTTCTCACAGATGGTGGTAGGAAGGACAGGGTCATTTAATGAAAATTGGTGGGAGTGTGGTGAGGGAAAAGAAAGAGCTAGAAAATGCTTCTAGTTCTCAAGCAGCTGGAGGCATTCTGTTAGCCTGGGATAGATGAAAACTGAAGGGATGAAAAGTGAGAGAGATGGATATCAGCATTTGTGCTGCTGTGAGTATAAAAATAATGCCAAACAATTTGAGTACAGCAAAACAGGTTCATTTATATGCCACTTAACCAAATGCACAATAATTTTTAACACATGGTTTGACTGACATATTTGTGAAAGTTCCCTATGTAACTTCCTACATAAAGTCAGTTTTCAAGGGGAACATTTAGCTTAATAAAATGTTTTGGCATGAATAAAAAGTGTATTTCCCCAAATGCCTAAAATATTTTTTGCAGTCATCACTTATATGCAAATCATTAATGTACCATTTATAAATTATTCCTGTTTGTTCCTTCAAGCAGGTTCAGCGAGACCTCTGCTTGGCCCCATTTTGTGGTTATTTGTTCCAATTTACTACATAGCCTTGAAAGGAAAAAGTTGAATATCTTAGAAAATATTTCAAACTACCCACCCCCCACCCCCCCAATTCAGTCTGGCCATTCTTCCAATTATTTTGACTTAATGAGATCTTACTGTTCTTTGGAAAGGTTAATGTCTCACCATATGATTTGGCTTAGTGGAATTCAGCCATTTCCCCAAAACATTAGCGCAATGTAGTAGAAAAGGTAATGAATAAATTTATTATTTTTTGCAATGAACACCTTTAGAATCAGGAATTCAGGGTGTAAATTCTAGCTTTGCCCCTCTCTCACACTGCGATCTCTAACACCTTGCAGAAACCTCCAGCTTAAGTTTCTAATTTAATGGTATAATAAGCAATAGCCTCATCATTGTCAACAAATATTTACTGAGGGCCACGTGGTGATATGTTTCCAGCAGACTTAATTGTTAATTAGTTGTTCCCTAGGTTAAATAGATGGCACACTAAAACAAATAGCACTGTGCAGAGGGCAAGGGAACTGTTATTAGCCTCCACTCGGCCTGGCACCAGGAATGAAAATGTCATTCTCCCCACAGGGGCTGCTTTCTAAGGATGTTTGGGTCTGTGGTTTTTCATATTATGAACTGTTTCTATTTTCAGGACTCAGAGTTCTTTGTAGGTTTGCACAAGCTATGGAAGTTCTAGAAACATCACATGAGTAATTCTTATTTAGAGTTCTTCAGCGAGGAAGGGAGAGAACTGTCTTCTCCCATTTGATAATAAGGTGGTAGAGTTTTGGAAGCTAGAAACCTCAGAATTTTTTCCCTCTGTAAAGCCATTCTCAGAAGCTTGATGACTCCCAGATTTACATCTCCAGCCTAGACCATTCCCAAAAATGTGCCCTTGATAGCACCTGACCTTTAGACCCAAGGCCGTCCCTGCCCAGGGCCCTGAGCCCCTTCCTGTGGTTCTCCAGGCAGAGTGCCCCTAATCTGGTCTTGGTCCTGTGTGGGCTCTTATCTAAAGGTTCTGGTCACCAGAACCCACGCAACAGTTTCTGCCTCAACAAAGTAGCCTGCCTCAACATTTTCTAAGTCCCTCTCTAATGGCTAGGACCCACCAGGGCCAGCTGTGCCATCTGGGAGAGGTGTCTCTTGCCTGGACAGGTCAGTACGAGACCTGGTCCTGGTTTCTTCCCTTCTGGGTGCTCAATGACCCTCCAGATCCCCTTACCATGTCCTCACTTCCACCTCGCTCCTGGTGTTGACCAAATGCCCCCCAAAGCCTTGGGATTCTTGTCAGCCCCAATTCCAGAAGGGCCACCTGGTGACAGGATGGCTCCCACTGGCAGGTGCATTGTTTCTGTCCCAGAATCGGATGAGACTGGCTGCCAGGATGGAGCTGACACTCTGCTTTTGTATGGCTCATGCCAGACACAAGACACGTTCAGGTCTCTGGGCCACTGAAGGCCCACTGCCAGCCCTTCCCTTGAGTGGCCAATAGGGGCCTGCATTGGCTCTCACTTGTGGGGGCTCTCACCTCAGTGCTGCCCATGGTCCAAAGCACTTGAGGACAGCAGGCAATGTTCTTTACCCTGTGGGTCCCTCTCCAGACACCACCACTC